AAAGACTAAGGATGAGTTATGCCTATCTGGTGCAAGCTGCGGTGATACCAAGCGGTATGTGCAAGTAACGATATCTGTCGAATTTCACCAAAGTGGTATACGACTGAGACCTGCATCATTTCCGGCTTTCCTCCCACATTAAGCTGACATGCCGCGATATAACTTGAATACTGTTTAAAGCGGAGTTAAGTTTCCCCATGCCAAAGGCAATTCTGTCTTGTATTCCAAGGATTGGTTTCATTGGGCTGTCAGTACTGTGGAATACTAATTTGTATATTTTGCTCTTGAAGCGAATATTCACTTTGCATGTGACAAAATGACATCATGGTGTCACCACTGTCACTACTAGTTTGACTGCTCCAATCGTGGACATTAGTTCTTTGTGTCCCACTTGTTTGAACAAAAAGAGAGACATCACATCAACATTGAAGCTTGCTGAATTGTCATTTATTGTGATTGTTATTTGTGCTTCTGATGGAATGTTGTCTATACCATTTATCTCAATAGTGTCAATAAACAAGCACTCATTTTCATCTTTTTCATACGAGTCGTCTTGAGTTTCACAATGGCTAGCTGGCTGTAGATCATGAATAGTTTGTGATCCTCGATACTTTGGTGGCCTAGTTCTTGCATGAAATCTACACCTGCCTCTTGGACTTGACGTCCATTTCAAATGTCCACTGGCACTGTGACTGTTTGTCTCCTGGCATGATGGACTGGACTGACAAACTAATTTGAAGTGGTTGAAGTTGTAGCATCTGTGACACCTTTTTCCAAAGGCCTGGCACCGGCCTTGTTGGTGTTTCCACCCACAGCATCTGCAGTCTCTCATATTAGTATTTCCTCCAACAGGATGTGATCAATAACTTGGTTTCTTTTGTCGCAGAAAGTCAAATTCCGTTGATAATATCTGTGTTATTTCTTGTACCCCTTTCCTCTGATAGTTCATTGACCTTACACAAGGTCACAGCTTTAGTTGATATCAGGTTCGTCTCTTACAATAACAACTCTCTCAAATGATCTGATGCTATTCCACACACGATTCTGTCTCTCAACATTTCATCCTTTAGCACTCCATTATTACACGCTAGAGACGGAACGACGGTGCAGAGTGTCTTTCTGTTTATGATGCTGATTCACCGAAAAAAATTAAAACTAAGCTATGGAAACATAGCTGTGATCGTTCATATTAAAGTGGTATTATGTATATTTATAGGCAGGAAGTTCATGATCAACTCGTAACCATTGAATGGCCAAGACTGTTCAAGTGATCGGCAGGGCACGTTCGAATCAACGTTGTGTCGCGATGTCTTGTCTACGAGTTGACCTACATGCTTGCCAGTTTTCACAAATAACTGCTGTTTTTTTCTTATGTAGTTTATCTATGTGTGTATAAAATACACATTTTAATCTCATCAGAAAATGGAATAACATCAAAACACGATAGGGTTCGTATTTCCTACATTCTGAGATCTTATTAGTTTTAGATTTACAAATTATTGATGTCGAGTGTAGTCTAGATTATGATAATCTGTCCCAATCCTTAACTTTTATTTGATATGTTGTATGTTGTGTCAGCTATGAGTACACACTTTGGTTTTTGTGTATAAAATATCTTGTCTAGGAGAAAGATGAATGCATCATTGTGTTTATTTGTTCAGTTCAAGTCATATATGTTCCCTCCATGCTGTATCTAGGCAAAAAGATGAAAAGGGAAAGATACATACTGATGGAAACGAATAAGGGAACAAGGAAAAATATAGAGAATTTAGCTTCACTGGGAGTACGTTTGCAATACGTTTTCAAATTCAACACATTCAAAATCAAATGTTGAGATGTATTTGTGAGCATTGTTCCTAACTCGAATTTGGCTGGCAACCCATGATAGCGTATCATTTACCTGTGTCTGAAACTAAATGTTCCCTTCATTTCCGCCACTATCGTTGCTGAAAACCACTTATATTAAAGGCTTTGCTAGGTTTATTTTCGTAATTCAGTTTCATATTCTGCTTTCCCTTTTATGACAAATAATTCCATCAGTTTCATTGATCTACGATCATGATCTATTTCAAACTTTACTTGAAATATACGCGTGTCTTTAAATTACCATGTATAAATCAAGGGGTAAATACATTCGCTTTTATTAAAAAAAAAACACATTAGGAAAGGAAATGTGTTTTTAGCAAACACTTTATCCAGGTCCTTCATATTTTCGTAATTTTCTCTTTCTTTGTAGATATTACTTCCTTATTTCACCTGCGAAGTTTATCGTTTCCTTGTATGAAATATAGCCTACTCTAAACCTCTTGTGCTTTCACATTCACGTTTCAAAATTTAAATAAATTAGGTATAAATCATTAACAACGTATAATGACACTCAAAATATAAATAAGTGGTCTGCATGATTGCACAAAGAATTCTAGTCTGAGATGGCGCGCGAGTTACGAGTGACCGAAAATAGGTTTGTTGAATATTTTTGCTGCAAATAGAAATGATTCTACGATTTTGATCAAATCTACGTAAACTTACTCTTAGTAGGTAGCATGTTAGTATCATCTTGTTAATTATTAAGAAATGACCATGATGTCCGATATTGAGCGATATCAATTTGAGGATTGTTTGGCCTGTTTAGACATCTTTTACATTGCTGATGTTAATCACCACGAAGATGGTTTTTTATCAATAATAATATAGCAAGGACATTGAAATCTATATGGACAGTAGGTTTCCATCAAGATATTCCATCCAAGCTGTCGTTCTTATTGTAACATAATCTTTGAAACAGTCTGTGCATGAACTAATTTACGACAACTTTAATCATTTATTTATTTGAAAATCATAAAAAATACTGACAATTTCAACGGGATTTTTTATCGGTAAATTAAACTCACGGACAATTCTCAATGAATGTTTACTTTGACATGTCATATGAGTGTCATATGTCTATCATCGTTGCCACATTCGGGTGCTTCAATATTACAGTAAATGTAATAAATAGAGCAAACTTAGAATACCGTCACTTTCATTGATGGCTAGGCAGTGCATATACCTTTGAGATTTTCTTAGTTTAGATACTGTTTCTATTTCTTATCAATATGGAAAGGTTGTGGCTGCCTTTATTTAAAAGGATGTATATATATCTGCCTCTGTCAAACTATTTCTACCACATATACTGAACAACAAAAGTTCCTTTGACATAGATTAAGATTTCATGCAAAGTTATGCTTTTTACCAAATCTGAAACAATTTCTGTTTGCAACAGATAAAATACTCCTGTAAGTGTTCAAATGGTCTAATTTGACATACTGACTTCAGAAAAAGCGTGGTTTCATAAAAAAAAACAAGAACATGCCAAAATGTCAATTTACAAATAAATAGCGTGTGTCCACCTCTGGTTGCGGTGCTAGCAACAAATCGTCTCATGGAATTGACCAGGCGTCGCACAAAGTCCTGTGGGATATCTGTCCATGTCTGCTGGAGCATGTTTTCGAATTTCCTAGAGTGTCTGTGGAACACGTGGTTGACGTCGAAGGCGCCGATCCATATCATCCCACATGTGCTCGATAGGTGAGAGATCAGGGGAGCGAGCCGGCCAGGGGGCATTCACGTTGTTTTGTTGAACAAGTCGAGCAATATGAGACGTTGAAAGGTAATGCCTTGGCCATGACAACGCAAAAACGGTAGAACAACAGTCCTGATGATCTCGTGGCGGTAGCGCTGTCCATTTAGATTTCCCTCTACCCCGACCCATACCATGACGCAATGATTGACGTAACGTTCACCTCGACGTTGGTCCACTCGAATCCGTCCATCGCTGTGGCTGAGGTGAAAACGAGACTCGTCAGTGAATAGAACTTGCCCCACTGCGTGGCCGTCCAGAGTAGACGCTGTCTGCACCACTGTAGACGTGCTTGACGGTGGTTACATTGTTACATTGTCTTGCAACATCACGTTGACTCGAACCTGCTTCAAGCATACCAATTGCTCGCATATTCGAACAGGCGTGATATTTCGTAATGTTGAATAATTGCGTAATATTGTTTTTTTTCTGAGTGGTTGTTGTCAGCACCATGGTAAACAATGCATATGGAATCCCATTAACGCACATGTTTTTATACACATTCTTGGGTAGTGTATTGCATGGGGCTTGCATAAAAGTCAACTTTTGCATTGAATGCATACTTTTCTGTAGCAGTTGCGTTTTTGTGACTTGATTCCATACATATATTAAAATATTGAGACCACCTCCGTGGTCTAGTGGTAGAGCGTCCGCCCGGAGAGCGGAAGGTCCAGGGTTCGACCCCCGGCCGCGTCATACCAAAAGACGTTCAAAGATGGTACTTGTTGTTTCCCTGTCTGGCTATGGCATTAAGGGGCTAAAACGAGGACTGGTCGGTTCGGAGTCAGTATACTGTGTCTGAGTGTGGTATTCATGTTAAACTGCGGCATGGTATCTCAGTGAGCTAGCACTATAAATCGGCATCAGTCCGGACTAGTACAAGCAGCCACACAAACACACACACGTACATGCACGTCGCTATATAAGTGCAATAATCTTGGACGCGACGTTAAACCCCATTTCACCTCATCTCACCTACAATATTGAAAACCGAACTTTACTTGTTTGAAAAATACACTAAAATATTGGTGTCACAGGAACTTTTGTTGTTGAGTAAAGTATGGCAGAGAAAGCCACCGGTCACTTAAGTGCAAGGCCTTGGCCGCAATGGTGTGACGTCATCAGCACTGTGACATCACCACCATTGTACATTTGCCGCCACGTCAGCTGGACAACCTCGGCTCAGTCTGAGGTCAGAGAGTGCAGCGAGATGTAAACAAACAGTTTTTGGCTGTTTCACGATTAATTCCAAACTCATGACACACAATTAACACAGACTTATTATATTACGAGACAGGTGTTTACACAATAATCACACATCATCTATATTTAAACTCAGTTAATTTTCATACCAAACACAACAAATGACAAACTCTATGGACATATTTTAACAAGTTTTATATCCACAAAAACACAACCAACATTCTCATCTTCTCCGGAAATATGTAACACGACGACATGAACGGCACACCACATGTCCCCCTCCACGTCTACACAAACACGACACTGACGTCACTGAGCGCCGCGGAACACCAGGTGATTCAACAGTCTCTGATTTCCCATGGATCTCACCATGTCGGTCGCTGTCCGCCCGTTGTTGTTATTGACATCGATGTCCTTCACGTTCAGAGACTGAACAATCCCCACGTCTCCTTTCACACAGGCCCAGTGAAGGACGTTCTCACCGCCATTGTCAACCCGTGACACATCAGCTCCTTCACTCACAAGGAGCTTCACCACTTCACTGTGTCCCATCACTGCTGCCCACATCACCGGTGTCCTGCCCCCCACTCCTCTACTGTTGATGTCCAACACGTTTAGAGACAGGACAAACTTCACCGTCACCAAGTTTCCACTCACACAGGCCCAGTGAAGGGTGTTGTTACCGCCATCTGTCACCAGTGACACATCAGCGCCTTTACTAACAAGGAGTTTAACCACCTCTCTGTGTCCCCACCGTGCTGCCTCCATCAGGGGTGTCATGCTCCACACTCTACAGTTGACGTTGACATCACCCGCAGACAGGATCCGCTTCACCTTCTTCAGGTCCCCGTCCGCGCTGGCGTAGTAGAGGTCGCGGTCTGCTTGTGATGGAGTCACTGTAACACAGAGTAAACTCAAAGTGTTGATACGTGACATGAACATCGATACATCATTAACTACTTCCTATATGGATATCAACTTACTGAGGATATGGTTTATGTTTTGAACTAAGAATAATCGATTTATGTGACATTTTTTAAAATGCTTTCTTCTACATTCAGTAGCTGTGTATAGCTGGGGAGTGTTAACGTTTGTGAGCTGAGCTTTATAAGATGAAGTCAGACACTGTCAGTACAATTGCTGTTTGAAATTATTAAGATAATATAATATGTATAATTACAGTGCTTTGCATAAGCTTGTTCATTGAATACACTGTATGCATGAAGGGTTAGGAGTGAGCTTGCTGCCCGCTGGGTTCTCCCACCTACCGTGTGAAGCAGTGGAGAGCAGTGGAACCCTCTCGCTCTGGCTGTGATCCTTACTCAGATCACTCACTGCTGAATTAGAAATTATAAATATATAGTAGCGTAGTGATTGTCAAGTAAACTTAATGACTCTCATAAATATGCAACACAAATATAAATGCTATCTACCCCGCGTGTCTACACATCTGCTTTTTGGATTGAGCTTGATGACATGTTTGAAATTAAAAGGATAATAAGATAATACATTTATCAACTTGTTAATTGTAGAGACTGTTAAAAGGAAAGTTGCGGAGTAGAATCTAGGCTTCCTGGCTGATATGTATACATGGTGATCAGGCCAAATATCATACAAAGTTGGACAATGACACAGTCTTCGAAATGCTGGTGTAAGAAGGTGAAATAGTGATAATTTTCATGGTCAAAGGTAAATAACCCTTTGGCTGGGTGCGCTAAAATACTTGTCTTTCGATGTGAACACAATTGGTGATGTATTTGTATATGTGATGTATATGTATATGTGATGTATTTGTATATGTGATGTATTTGTTGGTTTAAATTAATCTTGACCGTCCGGGCCAAGTCAGAGCAAACACATGTGGCAGAGATTTTCTTGAGAAAATACCATAAAAGACTTCGAGCATGCCTGATATTTTATGAAATTATGAAAACACGGTCTAGCATGCCAACATGTAATGTTCAAGATAATATAAATTGAGAATAACCAGTATTTATGATCTGCCGAAACAGATGTAGGCAGAATAGCTCTGAAAATATCCATGGACTACTAATAAAACAGTGATGACACCAGGTGTTCGCGACAAGGGTAAGGACGTTTTGCAACACATTCATTTTTAATTCTGGATTTATTTATTTTGTAAATTGACACATTGTCGGAAACGTTTGGCTCATGACCTGCACATTTTCCTTTGCTCAAACTATAGTTGTTCTCACACGAGGAGCGCTTGTGTTGGTGTGTGACTTCAGTGGGGGTAGAAACTGGTGGGGTGTAGCAGCTTGCTAGAGGCCTGTTGTCTTTGTTACTGCAGTGGAGACCTATAGAATGCCTGTTTTGGTGATAAATTCTGTTGTTTGTGTAGCTACAGTGAGTTAGAGCCCGTGGACTATGTGAAGTCAGTCGTGGGGCTAAAGTCTGTCGACTGTGTGACTGCAATAGAAGCATTGGATGCCTGTCTTGGAGGTAAAGTCTGTTACCTTGGGTACCTTGGGATGCCTGTCCTGGTCATACTGTCTGATGAAAATGTGGCTGCAAAAGGGAGCTCGGGGTGCCTGCCCTGGACACTGTGTCTGATGAAAATGTGGATGCAATAGGTACCTTGGCGTGCCTGTCCTGGACACAGTGTCTGATGAAAATGTGGATGCAATAGGTACCTTGGAGTGCCTGTCCTGGACACAGTGTCTGATGAAAATGTGGCTGCAAAAGGGAGCTCGGGGTGCCTGCCCTGGACACAGTGTCTGATGAAAATCTGGATGCAATAGGTACCTTGGAGGGCCTGTCCTGGACACAGTGTCTGATGAAAATGTGGATGCAAAATGGAGCTCGGGGTGCCTGCCCTGGACACAGTGTCTGATGAAAATGTGGATGCAATAGGTACCTTGGAGTGCCAGTCCTGGACACAGTGTCTGATGTTTGTGTGGCTGCAATAGGGAGCTTGGGGTGCCAGTCCTGGACACAGTGTCTGATGTTTGTGTGGCTGCAATAGGGAGCTTGGGGTGCCAGTCCTGGACACAGTGTCTGATGTTTGTGTGGCTGCAATAGGGAGCTTGGGGTGCCAGTCCTGGACACAGTGTCTGATGTTTGTGTGGCTGCAATAGGGAGCTTGGGGTGCCAGTTCTGGACACAGTGTCTGATGTTTGTGTTGCTGCAATAGGGAGCTTGGGGTGCCAGTCCTGGACACAGTGTCTGATGTTTGTGTGGCTGCAATAGGGAGCTTGGGGTGCCAGTCCTGGACACAGTGTCTGATGTTTGTGTGGCTGCAATAGGGAGCTTGGGGTGCCAGTCCTAGTCATTGTATCTAAGGAGTGTGTGGTTACATGAGAGAAATGTGTTTTGTGTAACCAGACAGTAATTGCAAATAGCCTACAACTGCAAGAATTCGGTCCGACATCACCACATTCATGTGGCATGTGTAAATATATAGAACATCTAAACTGACGACCTAAAGAAACTTCACCATAGTTTTAAATCACTCAAGTTAAAAAAACCACAAAATATAGATGCATTAAGTTTTGACAAGATCGAAATCAACATTTAAAATAACAGTCATACGGCATCAGATATTGGCACGACATGTGCCTGAATTGAGGTGGGGTAGCAAAAAAAAGTTTTGACTGTGATAGGAAAAAGGCCCATACATCTAGAATCGACCAAGTTTAATAGCACGTCACAGTAATAGCGTGTATGGCCATCCTCTGGTTGAAGATACGCAAAAACTCTCCAGCGCACATATAGTTTCAGTCCTCTTATGACGTCACGTGTGATACGTCGCCATTCTTGTTTGGGAACTGGATCAGTTCGTGTTTGTTAGTTGGGGGATGAGGTCGCTGTCGAACACGACGATCCATGACATCCAAGTAGTGTTCTACGGGGGATATGTTTGGGTAAGATAAAGGCCAAGGCATCACGTTGACGTTGTTGGCTGTAAGGGAGTTCTGTACAAGTCAGGCTGTATGGGTCTGGCGTTGTCATGCTGATGAAGGACGCTACGCGGCAGCTGTAGTAGAAATGGCAGGACAATCGGACGAAGAATGTCATCCATCTAACGCTGAGATAAACGATGACCAGTTTTTTCCTCTTCTGCCCACAAATTCCTCCCAAGACCATAACACACACACCCTCCACCATGCAGCATGTCGCCGTTGGTTCTCTCCTTAGGCGGTAAACACGCTGTTTTTCATCATCTCTGAACAGACACAGCCGGCTTTCATTAGTGAAGACGACCGTCTGCCACTCACGTCACTGCCAAAGACGTACAGTCTGGGCCCATCTCAATATCTGACGACGATGTTGCGCTGTCAATAACTGTCCTCTGGAAGCTCTGGCAGCCCTAGTTCCTTCAGCTCTGAGTTGCCTGGCCACTGTCTGTCGAATAACCATGTGCCCTTAGGAATTCGTCGCTGATGACGTCAGAGTCAGGAAGCAATTCGGATGAAGCAAAGTATCAATTACCGGTCTCTGTTGGGCGTGATTACCATGGGTCTGCCTGTTCTTGGCTTGTCTGATGTCTGTCTGTAACCTTGCATTAGGTTTCTTACAGCAACACGGGAGCAACGTGAACTTCTAGCGTTGTGGGCATGAGTTTCCCCCATCTGTATCATACCCAGGGTCCTATCGGTTTTTTTCGGGTGTCAGTCATATGCCGTCTTCTAAATGTCTTTGGCTGTACAATATTATGCTGTCATGAAGGCAGTGAGGTAGCACCTACGGCATATAGTTTAATTCAAAGCAAAAAGTCTAACGTTGAAGACATCTCGCTTTCTCCATGAAATCAAATATCATGATACAGGGTTATCCATAATTAGTTTCCCTGGATGAATAGTTGCTGACAACGCATTAGTGACAGAATGATAATCCACCTCTTGACAAATGTTATGAAACAGCGTCTTTCAGTCTCATAATTTGACATACTATCATCCTAGAGGATGGCTTGAGTATATGGTGGATAAGATGGCTGTCAATGAAAGCAGTGTGAATTATCAAAAATATCAACTCAATTCTGGCACTCATGAAATGTGGAACATGAACGTCCAAATATCGAAATAGGTCAATAAAGGGTTGCATTCAACATGATTAGATGCATACTGTATTCTGTATATGTCAAAGTATGCTTCAAGTAAAATATGAAAAAGTAATACATCACTTACAAGCCCTTGGATTCCTGAAAAAGAATAAAAGGCAGTAAGTGAACTGCAATATTTAAATAAAGTAATAATGTGTTTAACAGTAACAATGGGGGCAGGGCTGGCTCAGTCGTCGTAGAAGCTGCAATTTGCGCATGCCATGGCATGGCAAAGACCTATGATCGTATGAATCCCAGATCACCCTGATTATGTGTCTTGGTTTGTCAGCACCATACCCGTGCTCGCGGGTGTCACTGAAGTGGTAAACGTCTGAGACCTGCATCACTTACGGCTTTCCTCCCAGATCAAGCTGACACGCCATGATATAACTGAACTACTGCCCAAGGCGGTGTTAAACCAAACTTACTCACCCACCCCTACCGTAACACTACCAACAATCATTTAGAGAAGATACTACCGCATGTTTTAAAGAACAGTTCTTCTTGATAATTACCTTTTTGTCAGCCACGTAAACCCTTTGTCAAACGTTCTTCTACATCGTGGACTGCAAAGATATTAATAAGATTATTAATAATACACAGGGTAGCTGCTTGATATTTCCTCGTATGCACCAACCCCTTGTGGTGACCCCACACGAATACATGTTAATATTTGTCAGTTAAACCGTGCCTTGTGTTAAATTAAAATGAACGACCGGATACAATACCAACTCAAACACAAATGGTTTTCACTGGTAACATGGTAAATATAAAATAATATTCGTGTATTCGTAAAACTGGAATCCTATAGATTGTAGTACTACATTATACGCATGGAATATGTAGGTACGATGAACAAAATGAGTTGATCATAAAGTAGATGCTGAAGTAGTGTGAGTTAGTTCCCGATCCACAATAAGAAAACTTACCACTTCCAGCAACAAATTGTCAAAAAGATAAAGATCACAACAGGTAACATCCACATCCATTGCATACTCTGTGTACTGTGCCCCCAATCTGTAACAAACAAACACAATATGACTAATAAGTCTTGTTTCCCTTTGTCACTATACGTCGTTCCTTTAAACAGGCCTTTCGAAATTTTCCTGATCAGCTTTGATTATATATACTGTGTACCTTATCAACCCGACAGTTACATGCGGTTATTGTCAAAAACAGTGTAATTATGTACGTAGAACAAGATTTTCCTTCCTCTCAGATGAGAAATATAAACAAATGGCCTACTTTAGTGATGAAGTCTTGATAAATCATAGATATTAGCCACTTAAGGTTAATTTTCATTTGTTTACATTCAACAGATTTAGTATTCATCATAATACTGTTTATTGCTACTTTTGAAATTCCATTCATCGTTTGTCCAACTGAACAAGTATTAGTTTACTAGTATTCATTCTCTGGCCTCGAGAGCCTGACACTATTTGAAGTTGTTCAATCTGTGGTGAGTCAATAGCCTGGGTCCTTGATTGGATTCGACCTATTTACCTGTTTCTGCTTCACAATAATCTCCTGTATATCTCCCTCTGCAGCCATGGGTACAATGTCCACTTCCTTGATGACAGGTGTCCGCAATACAGTTCCCGCCACACAGCTTCTCACATCGGTCGCCATGCCAACCACGCCGACATCCCCGAGTGCACGTTCCTGTGTCAGTCTGACAGTAGTTGGTGTTTCTGTCGGAACCCAGGGCACAGCCTGGAGGACAGCCTTGATCGCATGTTTCCCCAAATCTGCCCCAGTCACATGGTCTGAAGGTAGTGGTCACTGCAACACAGACACAGCTTGTGAGAACACTATCAGACAAAACGTCTGTATATACATGTAAGTACATATCCCTGCACACATCCTGCCCAAGTCACATGATCTGTAGGTAGTGGTCACTGCAACACAGACACAGCTTGTGAGAACACTATCAGACAAAACGTCCGTATATACATGTAAGTACATATCCCTGCACACATCCTGCCCCAGTCACATGGTCTGTAGGTAGTGGTCACTGCAACACAGACACAGCTTACAAGACACCATAAGACAAAACGTCCGTATATACATGTAAGTACATATCCCTGCACACATCCTGCCCCAGTCACACGGTCTGTAGGTAGTGGTCACTGCAACATAGACACAGCTTGTGAGAACACTATCAGACAAAACGTCCGTATATACATGTAAGTACATATCCCTGCACACATCCTGCCCCAGTCACACGGTCTGTAGGTAGTGGACACTGCAACACAGACACAGCTTGTGAGAACACTATCAGACAAAACGTCTGTATATACATGTCATTACATATCCCTGCACACATCCTGCCCCAGTCACACGGTCTGTAGGTAGTGGTCACTGCAACACAGACACAGCTTGTGAGAACACTATCAGACAAAACGTCTGTATTTACATGTAAGTACATATCCCTGCACACATCCTGCCCCAGTCACACGGTCTGTAGGTAGTGGTCACTGCAACACAGACACAGCTAGTGAGAACACTATCAGACAAAACGTCTGTATTTACATGTAAGTACATATCCCTGCACACATCCTGCCCCAGTCACATGATCTGTAGGTAGTGGTCACTGCAACACAGACACAGCTTGTGAGAACATTATTCGACAAAACGTCTGTATATACGTGTAAGTAAATATACCTGCACCCAACCTGCCCCAGCCACAAGGTCTGTAGGTAGTGGATACTGCAACACAGACACAGCTAGTGAGAACACTATCAGACAAAACGTCCGTATATACATGTAAGTACATATCCCTGCACACATCCCGCCCCAGTCACACGGTCTGTAGGTAGTGGACACTGTAACACAGACACATCTAGTGAGAACACTATATAATGACCCGTTCGTATATACATGTAATTGCATATCCCTTGAACACATCTCATATAATGCAATCCTGCACTATAAGTCAATTATCCGATTCCGACAATATAATGAGCATCTGTTCATGAATCACTATCTAATATTGATGACACCAGATAATCGGGAAAAGGTGAGCTTATCCTGCCACACAGGTGTCATCCGTCAAACACATGCAAGGCAAGTCAATTGTTCATGGGACATATGACACAGTCGGGAATTGCATCGGACATCATATTGGTCACGTCCACTTCAATCTTCCACTTCATCTCAGAATCTTTTTCAAGTATCCATCGTACTTGTTGGACACAGAATCATGCCCTATTCTTTTGGTTTGAAATTAAGCTTTTACATGACAAATCATGATTTTACGAAAAGTAGACAACATATACAAAAGACTTTGAATAACTTGAAAAATACACAAACACGGTTTATTGAGCAGCAGTTGTAACAAGTACATAAGAATGCCATTTAAAGAATAGTAGTTACACAATGGCCTTCCGGTGACTTATCACTGCTAGGGTCAAGAGTTCTACCCATTTGTGTCAAACTAGACCAGTCCTATAAGTGAACTATTGTTGATTCATTTATTGTATTGCCTTTGAATGATACACTTGTGTTACTGTTACAGAAAATAAATCTGATACAGTTGCGGATTTATACACAGCTAATCACGTTGCAACACGCAACCTTCAATAGACCATGCATTCAACAATGGGAAAATTGTTCAACCTAGATATTTAACAAAGCATTTTTAAAACTGTAAAAATCTGTAATAGTTGAATAGTCCTATGACACTAGCACCTGCCAATCTAATTTGTTCCATCTTATCAACATCTATACTAAGTGTCTATGATCTGACTCAACTCTTACACATAACTTATCAGATTCTGTGTTTATAGAGGTTATCACGCGTGTGTTTTGGGATGGTAAATATCCAGTATGAAGAATAAACATTGCATTTTGCGAGCCTTGACGAGCTAAATACTGTAAATCTTGAAATCTATGCATCTCCAATAAATACGACTGCTGACCCCTGGCTAAAAATGCGACTCCCCCGATCCCCAATCAAACAGCAAATGTCATCGCTTATTAACATTTCATAAAGAACTTCCGTATTAACTATAAACGGTGTTTTCCTAAAATTAAACACACAGTTCATATGTTTATTCTGTTGACTGGCCTTAAGGAAATTCAAATGCAATAAAATAATTGAATCAACAACAGTTCACTGATTGGACTGGTCAATGATGCCTAGTGTGACACAAGTGGGTAGAACTCTTGACCCCAGCAGTGATAACTCACAGGAAGGCCATTGTGTAACTTCTATTCTTTAAATGGTATTCTTATGTACTTGTCACAACTGCTGCTCAATAAACCGTGTTTGTGTATATATTCAAGTTGGTATTTCCGCTATTCAAAGTGTGCAATGAGGCCATCTTATTGCTTATAGTCATTTTGGAGACATCAATGCGAAGTTTCATTAAGGCGAACAAAGATCTCTCGCATTTCACGCATTTAATTCACGCTTGCGTTAATTTCAAGATTTACATAATGTCTATTCCTAATACAGGATATTTACCATCGCCAAACACACAAGCGTGATAACCTCTTTATTATATAATGTCATACAGTTCTGCGCTCAAAAATCTCTTTCCATCTCTCACAAACATTACCTAAACATTTCCTGGAATGTGCGCAATAATATATACAACGTCAGAGGGTAAGTGATGTGTCAGTCCGGCAGTGACAGTAGCAAACACAGTTCCCACTGAAACCTCTTTCTGATACAGTGGAGTAACAACATATGTGCGAAACAACAATTGCCAACACAAATTCTTTTACTTGACTTTCCCGGCAATCCTTCTGTCCGATAGAGTAACTGCCCTTTATCAAGGGAAACTACTCTTCCTCTAGTCTATGAAACGTCACGGTCACAGTCAGACGTTGTTAACAGTCTGTCCTGTCATAACATTACGATTACGAAGTGCAGTCAGATGTACACACAGCGACAAAACGAGACAAATAAACAATTCGAAAATATTGCGGCCAAATCTAACTGTTGTAATTTGAGGAAAAAGTTCCAATCCGCAGAGGTCTTTAAGCACAAATGGAAACTCATTCCGCTTGGCTGGTGACCTTGCAAAATAGTTTTGCATTTATATCGCAAAAAGTTGCCACAACATGTAAAATGCCTTAACTACCTCACAGTTAGACAATAATTTTCAGTATATCAGACCAATATATTCTTTTGATGATGATAGCAATTATCCCTTTAGTTTCTCCAGATTCCCGATGGTTAATTTTGACTCGATCGCCGAGTTACAAGGGCAACGCCATGTTTGTTTGTAAACACTGAAAGTAGTCCCCATTTGACCTTTGATATTTGCATCTCTATCCACATATGACCCCAATGGAATCGTTTTTATTCATTGGCTTTATCCTGCCAACAAACCTGCCCATTATATGATTAATAAATGTGTCTATGTACCTGCTGTCTGTATCTGTGCACCTGTTGTTATGTTACAGAAGTATCCAATGTATCCATCTATACACCCGAGGGTACATCCCCCGTTGCCTTGGTTGCAGATGGTGCTGATGCAGTTCTGACTACAAAGTTGATCACAGTGGTCACCATGCCGACCACGAACACACCCATGTAAACACTCCCCAGTGTCTTTGTGACAGGGTCGGAGGTTTCTGCCAGGAAGAAGTCCACAGTGATCTGAACATAGTCGGTCACAGTTGTGTCCATACTTGCCCCACTCACACACCGGGACACCCTGTAGCACAGAAACTGAAAACAGAAGTGAAATGAGATACATGTCTACCTGATTGCCGACGTGTTTGAAGCTTGCATGACAAGGCTAGTGATCATAGATCGTGGTCATGGAGGCCCAAGCCATCTAAGGAGTAAACACAAGTAAGATGGCTACCCCAGATTCGCACTGATGATCCAGGTCCAGGTTTGTCAGCACCATATCCTGCTCGTTGCTTTCACCGAAGTAGGAAACGTCAAAGACCAGCTTCACGTAGGAATTTTCCCCCACATTTAGCTGACACGTCATTCAAAACGGTGTTAAACTCAAGTCACTCACATTTAAGATCATATGACTATGAGTATGAACCTTGGTTACTGAGGGTTACTAAATTCCACTGTCGGGACATAGATCTAAGACAGGTCGACTTCAGTCTAGTTAAACATAACAATGGTCACAGTTGAGCCTGCAATTGGCTCGCTTGTAAATATGCACGTATCAGCTATATGATCTTGTTCTACCCAGCTGTTGTTCACTTGCTTGATAAAGATACCTGTATCGAGGCGTTGTATTTTAGCGTTAATGAAGCTGAAATCTATGTAAACTCTGTTCTCATTGTTACTTCTTACTGCCACTGTATATATTTATACAAGTGAGTACGCTTGACGAGGTCAATATACAAAAACAAGGACCTTGGACAGGCGGAGGTTCGGTCATACCACGGAAGGGGTCGGGCCTGAGGTCCGTGTTTCTGCATATTGACCTCGTCAAGAGGAATCACTGTTTTATATAATCTATATTTAGTCAGTGACACGGGTAAACATTTTTGTATCTGTACCATGTCGATATACAAAAGTCACTTACATACTATTATCAGCAACGATCCAAACATCACAGCATATAGCCAATCCCTTCTGTAAAATAAATAACATTAAACAATTATGACGACGTCACATAATTATTGTTGTGGTTGATTTTGAGCCAGGAATTCACTGGCCATTCAGAACAGTATGTTGTACAAGTGAGGCTGAAGGAACTCTAGGTCATTGTGAAAACTTATTAAGAGAAACCACTCGAATCTGTTGATTCCAGAATCAACATATTTCCATGATTTCTCCATTACGTAATCGAGGCTCTAGATATGTGTGGGACAGACATAAGTTCATGTCGGGTAGACAGCAGTAAGACTTTCATATTGCCATGGGTCAATCGAACGGCCATATGTATAGCTTGGTTATATATGCACTTTGTCTGTAGGTCTCTATTTTGTCATACAAGGAAACAATGTGTAAGTAAATAGTGTAAGGTTGGGTGCTTGGACACTTTTTACAATATACATTATACTCCGACAACCCACTGTGCAGTACCTATTCCCCGGTTGTTGATCAGATAGTGGGACCTACCCTCTCCACTCACCTAGTTTCTACATTGTCACACACCCAAGTGGTTTGTGTTTCATATATTTTTTAACACATATTAAGATTATTTGACAAAGTGCAATTAATAAACATTTTAACACGCCTCATCAGATCGTGTTGGTTATATGATTGTCTGAGATCATTTGTTCTCACTCAGGGCATCGTTACAGCCATTTTCATTCCACTGATTGATATAAAGGAGACCAGTGAGGCCGCCTCATTATAGATCCGTGCATAGAGTATAAGAGAGACAACAGATATCCACAAGAGCAATATTCTAGCAGCTCTAGTATTTGGTGTCTACATTTCACAAGATTTTAGGTACAATCGAGCAGGTTCATTCTACGAAGATTTCAACGAGCGTCATACGATTCCTACCCAAAAGGTGCTTGATCAAGGTGACAACATTCAAGGCCTTTGCATAGCTTTCAAAAAGCTGTGATTGCAGACATGTGGAGAACATTTCCAGATTTGATGCCAGAAGCTTTCTATCTATTTCGTTTGACTCTCTGTTTGCTGGTAAGCAACTACCTATCTACTGCGTACTGATTCCATATCTCGGTTTTGGCTCCATATGTCCTCGTTATCGTCACCGTATGTCTGTGGTATCAGCTCCCAATCTACCGGATATCAACACAATATAATTATTCTCTTCATCTATTGGCTGTTGAGTCCATATCCAATTGGTATTGAATATCTATCAACTGGGTATTGACTCCATACATACTGGGTATTGACCCTCTATCTACTTGAACTTGACGAGGCACATGAGTAGCATATGGCATAGGCAGTGTTTAATGGACAGAGCAATCTAATGAGAAAGGTGGCTGTGGTTTGAAGACGAATTGTCTTGTTAATTAATTTCCGTTTTCATATATGTTTATATTCTATTTGTTTATATTCTATATGTTGATATATGTTGATATTTCGACTACTTAGGTTTTTGTTAACAATCTATACAGCAAAAAATAATGAAATGAAATTTATAATCCATTTTGCACCATAGATATGACATTTACTATTTCATAAACCTGTTTAAGTGCATAGTTAGACCACGTGCCACATGACACCATTGTCTCACAACTATTCAGAACTTTGAAAAATTTCATAGTCAAAGTTGGTAAAAACTAGAAGGCCGCAATACATATCACAGGAAAGTGCAAGTTACTGAAATAGGTACGCCCCTTTTATCCCTGTGTTCTACTGCCTTTACAATACATGCTTCCTGACTTCATTTATGGACGCTCTTAAAACGCATATAACCATAGTCGACCTACCCTGTGGAGTGCACTTGTAAAAACTGATAAGACATCGGGTCAACATGACCTCAGTGACACTCGTATCACGGGTGGTATTGTTTATTTAGGTTGAAACCTGATCTACAGATTACACATATGGCCCTGTCATAGCGGCACAGAAGGTTATCGCTGTGTGGTTCTTTTTGTGTATATTCCAACGCATGATGAAGAAAGTAGATCACAGTTGCTATAAAACACGCGGGATGACGCTCGTGCATGTCGTACTTATTATTGACCCAAATGAGTCCGACATCAATGTGATTATAAAATCACGTTAAATATACTTTAATACTAACATGCGGCTCTAGTATTAGATTGCTATATGGAAGATAGCTACGCGATAAATCACAAAGAGCAAGGAAGAACGAAGCGTGGGTTATTTCACAATAAAACATTGTTCTATGTGCCATTGTTCTAGATTGAAGTGTCGACGTGGGGATTTTGAAAATATACGGGAAATACCAAACTTAAGCCACCTGTAGTAAATGGACTTGTCGAATGCTATTCAGGGAGTCATCGTTATTAAAATTAAGGGAACTATTTTTAAACACACTTGATCAACATCCTCAAAGAGGCTGTACGTAATGTTAATATAAGAAATATTTCTATCTTACAAACAAAACACTGCAGGGAGAATAAACTACTCGGGGCTGCAAACCTCATTGTTTATTCTCCCTGCAGTTTGTTATTGTACAATAAACAACAGCCACTCGTCGTTTATTTCTTAATGAACGTATGTGACGTCTGTGTTAGATGCTGTAATACTGTCACGCGACTCTAGTATTGTATTGCTGTTGAACGTATGTGACTTTGCTCTGTTAGATGCTGTTGTACTGTCACGCGACTCTAATATTGTATTGCTATTGAACCTATGTGACTTTGTCGTGTTAGATTCTGTTGTACTGTCACGCGACTCTAGTATTGTATTGCTACTGAACGTATGTGACTTTGCTCTGTTAGATGCTGTTATACTGTCACGCGACTCTAGTATTGTATTGCTGTTGAACGTATGTGACTTTGCTGTGTTAGATGCTGTTGTACTGTCACGCGACTCTAGTATTGTATTGCTACTGAACGTATGTGACTTTGCTGTGTTAGATGCTGTTGTACTGTCACGCGACTCTAGTATTGTATTGCTACTGAACCTATGTGACTTTGCTCTGTTAGATGCTGTTATACTGTCACGCGACTCTAGTATTGTATTGCTACTGAACGTATGTGACTTTGCTGTGTTAGATGCTGTTGTTCTGTCACGCGATTCTAGTATTGTATTGCTACTGAACGTATGCGACTTTGTCGTGTTAGATGCTGCTGTACTGTCACGCGACTCTGACATTGTATTGCTACTGAACGTATGTGACTTTGTCGTGTTAGATGCTGTTGTACTATCACGCGACTCTAGTATTGTATTGCTATTGCACGTACGTGGCTTCTGTGTTAGATTCCGTTATACTGTCACGCGACTCTAGTATTGTATTACTATTGAACGTACGTGTGTTCGCCTTTTTCATCTCCAATGAAAGCAATATAGTTCTTACCTGAAATTACACTCACGTTTTGACTCCCTTCACTTCACCAATATGTCCACCCCTCCCACGTTCTGCGCACTACACTGTAGCAAGGCACACCTCGACCCAGTAGATAACACTGACGTAAACATTAGGTAACCAAGCAATCTGCACAGATCGAAGTCCCCGACCCACACACACAGCCTGAAATGTGATCCAGCTAGTAGAGGGAAAAAACACCGCATGATTTAAAGACTACTTGTTAAATGCACGCTCACACGCTATGCACAGGTGCCTCCCTTTACAGCAACCAGTCGATTTACCCCAGTGGTATAATCGAAATACTGTAGTGTAAGTATGTGCTGAAACACGCACTCACCCAAACTCACTCACTCAAAATATATTCACTCAATCACTATAACTATATTCACTCTCACACCAAAAACTAACGCACCAAAATTCTTTCACTTATCCAAACATGTTACTCAAAGACCTGATCTATCTTAACTCATTCATCAAACTACATTTACTCACTCATCTGAAATATATTTACTCACTCATCTAAACCACATGTACTCAGTCATCTGAAATATCTTAACTCATTCATCAAACCACATTTGTTCACTCATCTGAAATATATTTACTCACTCATCTAAACCACATTTACTCAGTCATCTAAAATATCTTAACTCATTCATCAAACTACATTTACTCACTCATCTGAAATATATTTACTCACTCGTCTAAACTACATTAACTCACTCATCTGAACTATATTCACTCATCTAAACTACATTTACTCAGTCATCTGAAATATCTTAACTCATTCATCAAACTACATTTACTCACTCATCTGAAATATATTTACTCACTCATCTAAACCACATTTACTCAGTCATCTGAAATATCTTAACTCATTCATCAAGCTACATTTACTCACTCATCTGAAATATATTTACTCACTCATCTAGACTTCATTTACTCAGTCATCTGAAATATATTCACTCAGTCATCTAAAATATCTTAACTCATTCATCAAACTACATTTACTCAGTCATCTGAAATATATTTACTCACTCATCTGAACAATATTCACTCACTCATCCAAACTATATTCACTTACTCATCTGAACAATATTCACTCACTCATCGAAACTAAATTCACTTACTCATCTAAACTGTATTCACTCACTTATCTGAAGTACATTTACAAACTTATCTAAACTATATTCTCTTACTTATCTAAACTATCCACTCACTCATCCGAACTATATTTACTCACTCATCTAAACCATATGTACTCAGTCATCTGAAATATATTCACTCACTCATCTAAACCACATTTACTCAGTCATCTAAAATATCTTAACTCATTCATCAAACTACATTTACTCACTCATCTGAAATATATTCACTCACTCATTAAAGTACATTAACTCACTCATCTGAACTATATTCACTCATCTAAACTACATTAACTCAGTCATCTGAAATATCTTAACTCATTCATCAAACTACATTTACTCACTCATCTGAAATATATTTACTCACTCATCTAGACTACATTTACTCAGTCATCTGAAATATATTCACTCACTCATTAAACTACATTTACTCACTCATCTAAACTACATTTACTCAGTCATCTGAAATATCTTAACTCATTCATTAAACTACATTTACTCACTCATCTGAAATATATTTACTCACTCATCTAAACCACATTTACTCAGTCATCTAAAATATCTTAACTCATTCATCAAACTACATTTACTCAGTCATCTGAAATATATTCACTCACTCATTAAAGTACATTTACTCACTCATTAAACTACATTAACTCACTCATCTGAACTATATTCACTCATCTAAACTACATTTACTCAGTCATCTGAAATATCTTAACTCATTCATCAAACTACATTTACTCACTCATCTGAAATATATTTACTCACTCATCTAGACTACATTTACTCAGTCATCTGAAATATATTCACTCACTCATTAAACTACATTTACTCACTCATCTGAAATATATTTACTCACTCATCTGAACAATATTCACTCACTCATCGAAACTATATTCACTTACTCATCTGAACAATATTCACTCACTCATCGAAACTATATTCACTTACTCATCTAAACTGTATTCACTCACTTATCTGAAGTACATTTACAAACTTATCTAAACTATCTTCTCTTACTTATCTAAACTATCCACTCACTCATCCGAACTATATTCACTCTCTCAACAAAACTGCATGTACTCACTCATCTAAACTTTATTCAATCAATCATCAAAACTACATTTACTCACTCATCTGAACTATATTCACTCACTTATCAAAAATATATTCACTCAATCATCAAAACTACATTTACTCACTCATATGAACTATATTCAATCACTCATTAAAACTACATTTACTCACTCATCTCAGATATATTCACTCAATTATCATAAATATATTCCCTCAATCATCAAAACTACATTAACTCACTCATCTGAACTATATTCACTCACTTATCAAAAATATATTCACTCAATCATCAAACGATTCCCGACATGGGTAAATTGTGTGAAGACCATTTCTGGTGTCCCCAGCCGTGATATTGCTGGAATATTGCTAAAAGCGGCGTAAAACCTTACTCAGTCAGTCAGTTAGTCAATCATCAAAACTACATTTACTCACTCATATGAACTATATTCAATCACTCATCAAAACTGCATTTACTCACTCATCAAAACTACATTTACTCACTCATCTCAAATATATTCACTCACTTATCATAAATATATTCACTCAGTCATCAAAACTACATTAACTGACTCATCCAAGCTATATTCAGTCGCTCATCTGAACTATATTTACACGCTCATCTGAAATATATTCACTCAATCATCAAAACTACATTTACTCATTCATCTAAGGTATATTCACTCACTCATCAAACTACATTTAGTCACTCATCTGAACTATATTCACTCATCTAAACTATATTTACACAGTCACCTGAACTATATTCACTCACTCATCTAAACTAAATTAAATCAATCATCCGAACTATATTCACTCATCTAAGCTACATTTACTCAGTCTTCTGAAATATCTTAACTCATTCATCAAACCATATTTACTCACTCATCTGAAATATATTTACTCAGTCATCTAAACCACATTTTCTCAGTCATCTGAAATATCTTAACTCATTCATCAAACTACATTTACTCACTCATCTGAAACATATTTACTCACTCGTCTAAACTACATTTACTCAGTCATCTGAAATATATTCACTCACTCATTTAACTACATTAACTCACTCATCTGAACTATATTCACTCATCTAAACTACATTTACTCACTCATCTGAAATATCTTAACTCATTCATCAAAATACATTTACTCAGTCATCTGAAATATATTTACTCACTCGTCTAAACTACATTTACTCAGTCATCTGAAATATATTCACTCAATCATTAAACTACATTTACTCACTCATCTGAACTATATTCACTCATCTAAACTACATGTACTTTGTCATCTGAAGTACATTTACAAACTTATCTAAACTATATTCTCTTACTTATCTAAACTATCCACTCACTCATCTGAACTATATTCACTCTCTCAACAAAATTGCATGTACTCACTCATCTAAACTTTATTCAGTCAATCATCAAAACTACATTTACTCACTCATCTGAAATATATTCACTCACTCATCAAAAATATATTCACTCAATCATCAAAACTACATTAACTCACTCATCTGAACTATATTCACTCACTTATCAAAAATATAATCACTCAATCATCAAAACTACATTTACTTACTCATATGAACTATATTCAATCACTCATCAAAACTGCATTTACTCACTCTTCAAAACTACATTTACTCAATCATCTCAAATATATTCACTCACTTATCATAAATATATTCACTCAATCATCAAAACTACATTAACTCACTCATCTGAACTATATTCACTCACTTATCAGAAATATATTCACTCAATCATCAAAACTACATTTACTCACTCATATGAACTATATTCAATCACTCATCGAAACTACATTTACTCACTCATCAAACTACATTTACTCACTCATCTCAAATATGTTCACTCACTTATCATAAATATATTCACTCAATCATCAAAACTACATTAACTGACTCATCTAAGCTATATTCAGTCGCTCATCTGAACTATATTTACTCACTCATCTGAAATATATTCACTCACTCATCAAAACTACACTAACTCACTCATCTAAGGTATATTCACTCACTCATCAAACTACATTTACTCAGTCATCTGAAATATATTCACTCACTCATTAAACTACATTAACTCACTCATCTGAATTATATTCACTCACTCATCAAAACTACATTTACTCACTCATATGAAATATATTCACTCACTCAGCTGAACTATATTCACTCACTCATCTAAACTACATTTACTCACTCATCTGAAATATATTTACTCACTCATCTAAACCACATTTACTCAGTCATCTGAAATATATTCACTCATTCATCAAACTACATTTACTCAGTCATCTGAGATATATTTAATCACTCATCAAACTATATCTGCTCACTCATCTGAAATATATTTACTCACTCATCTAAACTATATGTACCCAGTCACCTGAACTATATTCACTCACTCATCTAAACTACATTAACTCACTCATCTGAACCATATTCACTCATCTAAACTACATTTACTCCGTCATCAGTCATGAGAAATATCTTAACTCATTCATCAAACTACATTTACTCACTCATCTGAAATATATTTACTCACTCATCTAAACCACATGTACTCAGTCATCTGAAATATCTTAACTCATTGATCAAACTACATTTACTCACTCATCTGAAATATATTTACTCACTCATCTAAACTACATTTACTCAGTCATCTGAAATATATTCACTCACTAATTAAACTACATTTACTTACTCATTTGAACTATATTCACTCATCTAAACTTCATTTACTCAGTCATCTGAAATATCTAAACTGATTCATAAAACTACATTTACTCAGTCATCTGAAATATATTCACTCACTCATTAAACTACATTCACTCACTCATCTAAACTACATTTACTCAGTCATCTGAAATATCTTAACTC